CAAATCTATTTCTTCACTCCTAAGCTCACCGCCTCTATCTCTTCAGTTATCACTAATCTACTCAATGACATATCAGCATAGATGTCACACCACTTCCTCAAACTCAATCTGTCCAAAACTGAGCTTATAATATTTCCTCCTCTTCATGTTCCCTCCCCCGACTTCTCCATCACAATCAACAGCACTACAATCAACCCCTCCCGTCAAGCCAGGGTGCTTGGTGTAATCCTAGATTCTCAGATCTCTCTTTTACTCCCAGATCCAATCACTATCTAAATCTTGCCAACTCAACCTCTGTAACATTTCTAAAATGTGTCCCTTTTTAACAAACGAAACTGCAAAGCTTCTAATTCACTCCCTTGTAATATCTCACCTCAAATACTGTAACTCCCTCCTTGTTGGCCTACCATTAAACAGGCTATTCCCCCCTTCAGTCTATCATGAATGCTGCTGCCAGACTCATCCACCTTACCAACCGTTCAGTGCCTGCTGCCTCCCTCTGCCAATCCCTCCACTGGCTCCCAATTGCCCAATTAATAAAATTCAAAATAATAACAAGAACATACAAAGCCATCCACAACTTTGCCCCAACTACATCTACAAACTAATCTCAAAATATCACCCAAACCATCCTCATCCTGTATTGTAACTGTACCGTCTCCCCCATTTTGTAAAGTGCTGCGCAAACTGTTGGCGCTATATAAATCCTGAATAATAGTAATAATAATAAAAAAGTAGGCCATTAAAAGTGGAGCTCTAGGAACTATTTCTTTATGGATACTTCCATTGGCCGAGCCTGGCTCAATGTAAGTATCCATATCTAATGCCCAGAGAACTGCTGGGGGTTCTGAAAAACACTGTAGTAGTCTGCAATACATACAGTGATAGCAGGTCTCTTCTGGCCACAGCTCAGCACCTTCCCCCTGCACACTGAGCACTGGAAGTTAATCGCTTGGCACTGCCATTAAGAGACTACCTCTTATTTCAAGGAATACAAGATATTCTCTGATTGGACAAGGAGGAGATTGTGAAGTCATCTGCTCCTCCTCTCCACATCATCCAGTCAGAGAATGCTTTGTATTAATTGAAAAAAATACAAGGCATTTTCTGAATGGTGGTGGTGCCAAATGAGCGACTCTCTCTGCGCAATGTGCATAAGCGAAGCCTGTGAAGCCACAGCCGGAGGAGCCCAGCTATGACTTTATATAGTGCAGACTACTTCAGGGATTTTCAGCATTCCTAGTGGCAATCTGGATGTCAGATATGGATACTTTCACTGAGCCAAGCTGGACCAATGTAAGTTTCCATAAAAGATCATTCCCAGATTTTTGCTTTATGTGAATATTTTGCAGTTCTATGAAAAACACATTTAATGGCTAGAGTGCATCTTTATTTTATCTTAGAACTCGATTGTTTGTACTTTATTGTTCTAAGTGGTATATCTAGCAGTTAAAAAACAGACACAATTAAGTTTAGTTGAAACCCATAATCTTTATTTATTGTCATAAGCAAGCTTTATATCTAAAAAGAAAATGATTGCATCTTGTTTAGAATTGAAAGATCACAAAAATCCCATAACCTAGAAAAGCAGTATGAAACCAAAGATAAAAATACAAATTTGGTTCTTAAGTGAATCTAAAATGATGACAATATGGCACCATAGTTGTAAAGAATATCCACAGGACAGCAGATGCTCTATTACTTCTCACACTTATCCATTATAAGGACTGTGCGGACACTGTAAAAAAAAACAATAATGCATTAGTATACTTCATTATGCCTTTAAATATTTAGTAAACGATGTGCTACCCTCAAGAATTTACCAGTACAAAATTACACTCAGGTCTATAATAACTCAGGCTGTAATAACATTATCATCTGTAAATTAATTTACACCAGTATCATTTTTAACATAATAGACTGAAAGAAGAAGCTTTTAAAGCACGCTAGGTTTGTTTGTTAGGCATAATACAAAACTAGATATGAGAATCATATTTCCACAAAAAGGATACTAATCCAGGGGAGTAACTACAAATCACGGGGCTCCATAGCAAGACCAAAATAGTTTTCTGGAGCAGATAAAACCTGGAGCAATTTGCCCATGGAAACCATTCAGTTTATATCTTTAATTTTCAAAGCAACTGCTCTAGATTCTGTCTGCTCCCTTTTGATAAATTCCCCTCAATGTGTTTAATAATCTTGGTTTTTAATCTACTGACCCTGCTGCCCAATTATAAAGCTGTTTAAGTGTAAAGTAGATGATTAAATGAAATGTAACCCTAACAATGGTTTTTGGATTTGCTTTCTTTTGGTCTGTTAAATATACCAATGAAAGTGTTTTGTTATATCTGTTTGATACTTGCAAAAAAAATACCAGTTAATCCTGCCAGAAATCCAGTGCTGTCCTGTGTACTCTGCAGTCGTATCTTATCCTATACATCTGCACATTAACCCCCCAGCTCTGTCACCCTACTGTATGTAGCCTATAGATCAACCCCTTCACCCCCTCTTCTCTCTGTATATGAGCTTTGCTGCTCTGTATCTAGTGCACCATTGCCACGTTCCATGTTTTAACAACTTCAGCACACGCATGTTTATTCTTATCCAAAACATTGTGGCAAAACATTAGATCACCTTGGTGTGTCTTTTTTACAAAAAGGGGTAATATGGGGGATTTTCGTATTGTCCTGCCATTTTTATTTGTTTTATAACCCGGTGATATAAAGTACCACTAAAAGAAAGCTCTACCTGTCTCAAAAAATGATGCCAAATTCATTTGGGTACAGTATTGCATAACCTAGTAATGGTCAGTCAAACTGTCACAGCATCACTGAAAACTGAAAAATGGCCTGGTAATGAAGGGGTATTGAATATAGAGGCTGGTAATCAAGTTTTAAAAATTATCCATTAGGTTTATTTTCATCTGTGAGACTTTCATTCCTATCACAGTAAGTAAGAGGTATTTTGTGATTGGCTGCAAGGACTGCGACAAATGTGTGCAGTGCATAGTGTGAGTATGTTGAGGTTCTGTGTACCCATGCCCCTTTAAGCCATGCCAAATATTGAACACATTGTAAGCCATGCCCACTTATTGCTCCCCTGTAGGGTGTCCCACTTTTCCAAGTTCTGTTAGGTGGTGCTATATTTTCAGAAGTAGGGGTAAAACATCACTACTTATTAGAGGTTCACCGAAAAGAACATTTCAAAACCAAAACGAAACCCAAAATGTTTTTACTCTAACTTTTTCAAATTTTTAAAAATATTTTATTTTTATTTTTTATAAACTTTTTCATTTTATTTATTTGTATTTATTTATTCATTTTTTATAAAATATTTTTATTTTTTACTTTACTTTTAGGGGCTTTGGGGAAATATTAGGGGTCTAAAAAGACCCCTGATATTTCCCTTTTAAAATAGAAAAAGAGATTGAGGACGCAGAGTCCTCAATCTCTTTTTCTGCAGCCCCTCTATACTGAGTGTTCCTGTTCATTCATAACTTGTGGACATAGTGGGGGGTGAATTTATAAAAACTGGAGCAGACAAAATCTGGAGCAAATCTGGAGCAGCTGGTTGGGGGTGCCCCATGAAGGGGCACCCCCCAACCGCCATGGCACCGCATGGTTAACAAAAAGGCTGCTGAGGTCCCCAGCAAGTGCAGGACCTCAGGCAGCCGCTTGTTTAAAATTTTAGTGCCGGTGTTCTGTCGAGAACGCCGACACGGTATCTGCGTGTACGTACAGATTGGATTGACAAGGAAACCGGCATTTATTTAAAAAGTATTCGTTTGTAATGGTTAATTGTGACCGTTAATAATATACCGTGCATGTCAGTGAATGAAGGATGGAATATTATTAAGACTCACAATTAACGATTTAAACAAAATACTTTGTGAATAAATCCCGGTTTCCTCGATCATACTGGTCTGTGCGCAAGCGCAGATGCTGAGGTCGACAAATTCGACTACGTCAGCGTTCTCAACAGTCCACACTTGCCCACCACCCCCACCCCCCCACACACACACTTCCCACTCCAGAATTATCTTTCCTCTCCTGCAGGGCCCTCTTCCTCATCTCGGCGGCCAGGGAGTGGGGCTAAGAGGAGAGGGTCCTCACACAGCAGAATGTGCTGCCCGTCTGCTGGACTGGTGACATCCTCTCCATCCCCACCGCACAGCCACCCGTACATGCTCCGGGTGACTGTGCGGCAGGGAAGGAGCGGCACAATCTGCAAGTGGGGGAACTACCAGGGTCACAATTGCGACTGTTGCGACCCTAGTAGTTCCGCCAGTGGGAAACGCTGATTGGTTGCCATGCATAGTTGCTCCAGATTTTGTCTGCTCCAGTTTTGATAAATTCTCCTCAGTATGTTTACTATATCCACAATCGTGAATGAACAGGAAGTGATGTAGATCACTTCCCATTCATTCATAATTGAGGACACAGTAAACATACTATGTTCTCAATTATTTACAAACACTCAGCGATCACTGATCACTGAGTGTTTGTACCCGCTCTCCATCCTGACACCTGTCACAGGAGGCTGAGCGGTGCGGGAGGAGAGCTCAGCCTCCTGTCACAGTAATGACAGTAAAGGATGCCCACATCGCTGCTCTTCTGATCTGGCACAGAAGGCTGAGCGGTGCGGGGAGGAGAGACACTAGCCACTTACAGCGCTCTCCTCCCGCACTGCTTGGCCTCCTGCAACAGTTTCTCTCCTCCCTGCTGGGACACAGAGCAGCGCCCAGCGTGGAGGAGAGAAATCACGGATGCACCACTATTGTGGCCAAAAAATTTCACTTTCAGCATTTTGCCAAAAGTGCCATGTTTGGCAAATATGTTTCACTGACCGATATATCGGTGCATCCCTACTACTTATGGTAAATTGTGTATGTGAGCTAAGCTCACTGTATTTAAAAACCACAACAGAGGGATTCAATTTATGGTAATATTATTTGTATAGTTGATTATTATGATTTCAAAAAGGCAATTTTAAAGAACTGCTTACCACTTTCCATTTCTCATGAGTTCAAAGCCTTCATTGATCTTTTCAAAAGGCAACTTGTGTGTCACCAGCTTGGAAAGGTCAACTTTCTTATTTATGGCATCTTTTACTAAGCCTGGGAAGTCCAAGGGGGCCTTGAAATCTGTAAATGAAAGAAACAAAAGCATATGTTAGATTTCACATAGCACAGGGTGCCCATCATGCATATATATTTTAACACACAGTGAATTGCATTCAGCAAATTGTAGAGGACAATAGACATGTGCGATTCGGTTCGTTCCGAAATTCGTTTTGGACGAATTTTTGGAAATTCGGAGATTCGGATGCATCCGAATTCCGAATTACAGCTAAGACGAATGCAAACGAATCCGAAATTCCCGATTTCCCGAAATTCGTTATTGGACGAATTTCGTTGCAGCAAAATGACGTTAGGAAGCCAGACATCTGTGCTTACAGTACAGAGGCTATAGTAGGGTCCTAGGTTCAATTCCAGGGTGAGTCAAGTTAAAAGTTTTTTTTTCCTTTGCTTTTGAATTGGCATTCTCCTAACATTCCTACCAGACTTAAAGGGTCTGGTATGAATTGGGGGGGAATCTCAGGCTTTTTTTTTTTCATCTTCTGCAGACTGTCATTTTTGTTCCCCCTAATGTCATTTTGACGCAACGAAATTCGTTATTGGACGAATTCTGTTGCAGCAAAATGATTTTTTTTTTTTACAGTCTGCAGAAGATGAAAAAAAAAAA